CCCCAAAACCCCAAAACCCCAAAACCCCAAAACCCCAAAACCCCAAAAGGTACTGTAAAGATTGAATTTTATACATCGATAGATCTATTACATATGTATGAATATTTTAGAAAGACGATTGTTACGAAGAATTTCATCAGCGTTGTGTTTTTGTATTCCTCAATCATCTAGCAAGATTAGTTTTAAGGAGAGTCTTAAATCTTCAGAACTACCTAATCCTTCTATAAGGTTCTCAAATTCTTGAGAGTTCTTGTTCCAATCACTAGTATAGTCTGCTCCGGAGTAAGAGAAATCAATAGTGCTTATCCTTGCATTCTTCATTGTTCCAGAAAGATTTGGCACAACAGGGGTAGAAAGTATGCAATAAGTTAGTCCAAATTCTTGAACATGCTTATAAGCAGTGATTAGTCTTCCAAACTGTCTTACATTAATCAAGAAATTGCTTAAGACCATTTGCTTGTGCACTTTATAACTAATCTTGATAATATTATCAAAATAGTATGAAAAAGTATGATTTGCATAGTTAAACGGATAAGCCATCATCTTTTCGATTTTATGGGGGAAAGAGGAACTCAGAAAATCTTTTATCCTTTTATCTTTCTCCTTGAGCTTGTAAAGGTTTATAATCTTAAAGTTTGGAAGTGTAAATGGCTGCAGAGATTCAATGAAGTCTATCTCCTTTTTCTTTGTCAAAACAAAACTCAATGATTTCGAAGATGTTTCTTCAATTTCCGATACAGAATTTAAATAAACAGTTTCCAACTTTTCATGCCTAATCATCAACCACAACGCTTTAAACACTTCAAACTCAATTTCTTTCTCCTTCATCTTTACTTTCTCCTCAACACTAAACCCACTCAACCCCAAAACCTCCACTCCCAAAATCCCCCGTCCCTTCATTCCACCTCCCTACCCCTAAAATCCCAAATTTTACCATCCCACTTGGTCAAGGCCTGCACAGGTTTCTTCGCATTCCATTTTCTATAAACTTTTATAACAATTTAGAAATACTTCAGGGGTTTTGGGGTTTTGGGGTTTTGGGGTTTTGGGG